CCTCGTCGTCATCATCATCATCATCATCATCATCATCATCATTATCATCATCATCATCATCATCATCATCATCATCATCATCATCATCATCATCATCATCATCATCATCATCATCATCATCATCATCATCATCATCATCATCATCATCATCATCATCATCATCATCATCATCATCATCATCATCATCATCATCATCATCATCATCATCATCATCATCATCATCATCATCATCATCATCATCATCAACCTCCTCACCCATCGCCTCCTGGATCCGTCCCCCTGCTCCTCCTCCTCCTCCTCCTCCTCCTCCTCCTCCTCCTCCCCCTGCTCCTGCTCCTGTTCATCCTTCGCGTCCTCCTCTGCCCCTTGTCTGACACTGCACAGTCGCATGACCCTCCAACCCCCCTCTTCCTCCTCCTGCTTCTGACCCCCAGCCTACCCTGCCTCTGCCCTTCTCGTGAGACCAGTCTGTCTTCATCCTCCCCCCCCTCCCTTCTCCTACTCCTTCTTCTCCTCTCCTCCTCCTCTCTCCTCCTACTCCACTCCACTCTCCTCCAACCTCCACCTTTCCCACGCTGCTCCCCAGCTGCGCCTTCCTGGTAAGGCTGGGGTCACTCCCTCAGTTCCCCGTCCTGCTCCCCTCCCCCCCTTCCTTCCCCCCTCCTCGCCCCCTCCCTCCCTCCCCGCCTCCCCAATCCCCATGCTCCCCCCATGCTCACACCCCTCCTCCGCCCCGCGCGCGCCTCTCCTCGCCGCCGGCGCCGCCCCAGCGCCGCCGCCGCCGCCGCCGCCGCCGCTCCTCGCCGCCGCCGCCGCCGCTCGCCGCCGCCGCTCGCCGCCGCAGCGGCGAGGCGCGGCCCTCGAGGCCGCAGCCCGCGAGGCCGCCCTGCCGCCCGCCGCGGGACAGCGCCGCGCGCGCGAAGCCGCGGCGGGCGAGGCGCGGCGAGGCGCGGCGGCGAGGCGCCGAGCTCCTCCTGCGCTGCCAGGCGGCCGTTGGCGACGCGCAGCTCGGCGCAGTCGGACCTCGGCGCGCCGCGGGGCGGCGCCGCGGGGGAGCCCTGGCCGCGGGCGGCCTCGGCGGGTGCCCGCCGCAGCAAGGCCCCCGGGGAGCCCCCCCCCCCGCCCCCTCGGGCAAGGCCCTGGTGCCCTCCAGGGGGGCGCCCGAGCGGCAGGCTTCGCGTCGCCGTCGGCCCCGGCCGCTGGTTCCCGACGCCGCGGGCATCGTGCCAGCCTGAGAGAGGCCGGCCGTGGCCCGAAGCGCCGGACCGTTCAACACCCTCCGACTCCGAGCTCGCCGGCGGCGCTCGACGTGGAACGCCGGCGGCGGGGTCGCTCCTCCTCCTCCCTCCTCCTCCTCTCCCCCTCCTCCTCCTCCTCCTCCTCCTCCTCCTCCTCCTCCTCCCGTCCTCCTCCTCTCCCTCCTCCTCCTCCTCCTCCTCCTCCTCCTCCTCCTCCTCCTCCTCCTCCTCCTCCTCCTCCTCCTCCTTGACGCGAAGCTGCAGCACCTGTTTGGTCCGCGGCAGTGGGATCGATCGCACGGCGGTCGGAGCGGCCGCTGGGCAACGGGCGCAGCGGCGGAGTCCACACCCGGAGAGGCCCGGGCACCGCGAAGCAGCGCGAAGCAGCACAACCAAACGAGCATCGACGCAGATAAAAAAAACGATGCCAAGTAGTGTAAGTCAGTGTGGAGCAGCGCAGAGCAACGCAAAGTCAGCAATGCAAGTCAGCGTAATGCAATGCAAAGTAGCGCGAAACAATGCAAAGCAACGCAAAGCAATGCAGAGCGATGCTTCGACGAGGCTGCGCGGGCGACGACGCGGCGATGGGGCGGCGACGACGACGGTGAGGCGACGACAACCACAAGGCGGCGGGCCCGACGTGCAGGCCCAGACGACGGGCGGCGACGAGTGGCGACGGGGCGGCGACGGCGACGACATCGCCGCCAGACCGACGGCCAAGCCCTGCTCTTTATTCGACCATTAAGAACCGCTCAGTGCAATAACATCCTGGGGAAACAGTATATAAGTACGTAAGTAAACTGTTTGTAAATATGTATGTATGTTAGTAAGTAAGTACAAGCCAGTAAGTAAGTGAGTAAGTAACCTTTGGGGGGGAACTGTATGTATTTATGCAAGTAAAGGCCAAGAGCAATGGAAAAGGCAGCGTCTGCCCAGCCCCTCGATCCTAGCCGAGCGCCACCCCTTCCACCACAGCCTGCGCATGGAGGTCCCCGTGCTCGCGGGGGAGGAGGAGGAGGATGAGGAAAGCAGGAGGAAGGTGAGGCAAGAAGGCGGAGGAAAGGGGATGATGAGGAGGAGGAGGATGAGAAAGATGAGAAAAGGAAAAGGAGGAACAGAAGACATCCGCGGCGAGGACACCCGGGAGTTAAGACATCGCGGTCGGGCGCCCTCCGAGCAAGAAGCCGATCCACGGCCGCCGTCGCACCGACTGGCGAGGTTCCACACGGGTCAACAGCAACGGGCGGGGGCACAACTGCTGGCAAAAGAAGAAATGGCACAGGCATACATGGTTGTGCAGGGACCGACCGTCCCAGTATTCCTATGGGCCAACCCCGACAGGTTCTTAGAACCTAAAAAAGTTCTGAGAACGAAGACAACATTTTCTGAACAGAAGTCCGCTGCGTGTAAACAAGACAGACTCGGCCAGAACTGTGCTCATAACATTCGTGCAAACCACAAAAGGTTTTAACATACATTCTTCGGTGGGCCTTATTTGCGAGCCTGGACGCTCGCCACTGCTAGAAGAATGGGGGAACCCACAGGTACCGATACCGCTACTCCCGATACGATGGTTTAGGGTTTAGGGCTTCTCGGGCGCGCAGCGGCCGATAGTCTGGGCAAGGCTGCCCCCCTTTCGGCAGGCTTGCTTGGGGGGGCGTTTAGCCGACCCGATCTAGCCTGCCGACGACGCAAGAGCTGCAACCACATCCCACCCCCGGCCGCATGGCCGGCGACCTCCCAAACTAAAGCCTCTTAGGGTTTAGGGCCGCTGGCCCCTAAATTCCCCAATGTGTTCCAAGCGCTCCCAGGCGCTCCCAGGCGCTCCCAGACGCTCCCAGGCGCTCCCAGGCGCTCCAGGCGCTCTCCCAGGCGCTCTCCCAGGCGCTCTCCCAGGCGCTCTCCCAGGCGCTCTCCCAGGCGCTCCCTGGCGCTCCAAGACGCTCCCAGGCGCTCCCAAGTGCGCCCAGAGGCGCTCAGAGCGCCCCACACGTGTTTTTACGCGTCGGAGAAGCGCACCCCCCCGCGTGAAGTCAAAAGTCTCTGGGTTTAGGGCGTCATATTCTTCGAGGATCAGGGGGAGTTTATCGTTGAATCGCGACTCCCCGACGGGGGGCAGCCTACGGCTGCATGGGCGACCCAGTCTGACAACCAGCGGAAGCATCTCAGAGGTGCCCTGTCCATCGTGGACGGCGACCGTGAAACGCGGTGGGGTGGGCAGACGCACAACGAGGCGCTTGGGAATGTAGGGATTAGGTTTGGGGGCGCGTTCTGACCAGGATCTCGGGGCGGGTCGGGCCGTGGCGGCCCGGGCCTCCGAGGAGGCCGCCCGCACAGAGGGGAGCCGCGAGGGGCAGGCCGGCGGCAGTGGGCACCTCTCCCTCCTCCCAGCCTGCCTCGGAGACGCGCGCGGATCTCTCTTTGCGTCGGCGCTGGGCCCCCCCCTGGCGGCGACTCTGGCGCCGCCTCTGGCTCCGCCTCTGGCGCCGCCTCCAGCCCTGGCCCCGGCGCGCTCCGCGCGCTCGGGGGGGGTCGGCCAGCCCACCCTGTCGTCTTCGGTGAAGGCCCCCCCCCGTCTGGGGTCCTGGGAGGCCTCCAGGCGTGGCTCCGAGGAGGGGCCCTCGTGGATCGATGGTCCGCAAGAGCCGCCGGCTGTGATGCTGACGTGCGCTGGTCCACGGGAAGCCCTCCGCTGTGTGGGGCCCTGCGCGCTGTGGGCCCGCAAGGGGCCGCGACGCAGTTCGGCCAGGAAACTACAAGCGCGCGTGGCTGGACTCTCACGTGGAGCATCTGGAGGCCACCTGCTGGGTAGACCTGTGGAGGATCACCGTGCCTGGCCAGGCAAGAGTCCAATGCCGAAAAGGCACCTGGCCACACGTGTGTACAGGTGTCACCCAGGCTGGCCTGAGGTCGGGCATGTTTCCCTACAGGCAGATTTGGGTAGAAAAGAATCACAAAAAACGTCCCCAGGCGATTTTCAATCTATGTTTGAACATTCCTCCTGTAGAAGGACGTGCCCGACTTAAATGTATGTGCAGATGTCGCCCAGGTTGGCCGCGTGGTGGGTATCCACTAATTCCCTGGCATGTCCCATGGGCCATCGATCAGAACACTGGGAGTCTTTGGGACCCCATTCTCCCCTGTCTTGTTGAGCAGGGACCGACCGTTCTGGCATTCCTATCGTCCTACCACGAAATGTTCTTAGAACCCAAAGCTGTTCTAAGAACAAACACAATGTTCTTAGAACATAAACCCTACGTTTTAAAACAAGACAGCCCCTGCCAGAACTGTTCTAAGAACCTTTCGTGCAAACCACAAAAGGTTCTCAGAACATTCTTTGGTAGGCCTATAGGCCAGCCAGGACGCCTCGACACCGCTTGGTTGTGAGGGTCCCAAAGCCGTGCGTTGACGGGCCCGGCGGCGACCCCGACCTCCGCAGAGGCCTCACCGCAGGGCCCGTCACCACACGGCCCTGGGACCTCGGGAGGGCCCGGCCGCACGAGTGCCACAACCGTGCGACGACCCCGAAGCCCGACCGACTCACCACGCGGAGGAGGGGGAGGAGGGGGAGGAGGAGGAGGAGGAGGAGGAGGAGGAGGAGGAGGAGGAGGAGGAGGAGGAGGAGGAGGAGTAGGAGGCGGAGGAGGAGGAGGAGGAGCGGGAGGAGGAGGAGAGGGAGAGGAGGAGGAGGAGGAGGAGGAGGAGGAGGAGGAGGAGGAGGAGGAGGAGGAGGAGGAGGAGGAGGTGAAAGAGGAGGAGGAGGAGAAGGAGGAGGAGGAGGAGGTCACCGCCACACTTGGAGTGCCCCCGCCTGTTGCTGGCCCCTCGGAGGTCTGGCCGGCTCTCGGGCCCGAGAGGCGGGGGGGAGGGGCGCGCACGACGCCACGCTCTGCGCGGCCGCGGCCGTGCGCCGGGCCACGGGGGCTCACATGAAGTCCAGCGGGTTGGACCTGGCCTGCAAGTACGGATTGTACACCGCCCTGGCGTACAGGGTCCCGGTGAAGAGTGGAGCGTCATCCCACGCGAAGGGCCGCATCGAGACGGTCTTCTCCCCCACCTGCATCTGAGAGAGGGCCTTTCTGGCGCGGGCCGCGTCCGCCTCCTCAGCATAGTGCACGAACCCGTAACCCTTGGTATAGCCGCTGTTGCGCAGCTGGAGCTTGCAGTCGCACACTTCCCCGAACAGGCAGCAGATGTTGAAGAAGCCGTGGCTGTCGATGTCTGTGTCCAAGTTCTCGATGATGAATCTCCTTCCTGAGACCATGGTCTTCCGGATCAGCTCGAGGGTGCTCACCAACATCACCCGGATGATCTTGCCCCGGATCATGCCGTGGTTCAGGTGGCCCTGGGCCTCGGAGGCCGCTTCGGCAGTGGCGTACTCCACTATCAGCGACTTCTCGGGCGCCTCGTCCGCCTCGGAGACGGAGACGACGGTGCCGTAAAGGCCGAAGAGGTACCGGAGGTCCTCCTGAGGAAGCAAAGAAGTACTCCAGATTTCGTAATAAAAGGGAGGGTGTGTGGACCCTCCAAGACAAGCCATTTCAGACCCCCCCCCCCTTGGGAGAACCCTCCAAAACATCGTCCCCAGACCCCCCCAGGCCCTCCAAGATAGCCTGGAAGAGACCCCCCCCGAAACGAGACCCCCCTCCCTTTTGTTACGAAATCTGGAGCACCGGTGCAGCCGCTCCCCGGGCCTCTCCCGGGGGTGCGCTCGGACCAGGAGGAGGTCCGAGGCGAAGGCAGCCGTGGCGAGGAGAGGGCCTCCCGGGAGGACCCCCCCAGACGGGCCGCCGCGGTCGGAGCGAGGGGGCCGAAGGGCCAGTCGTTGTCCCTATAGGGTGCGTGGCGGAAGTGGCGTTCCGTCCGGCAGATTCTGCTTGTCGTATAGCTGAATTCTCATCTCTACAGAAGAACTCGTACTGATGCCCCCTCCGGTGCACAATGCGGTTTTCACTTCTATAGAGTGCTGTTCCCGGGGATCGCACCCTGTTTGCAGTCGGGGCAAATCTTGGTCTTCAAACTGTGTTGTTGCCCCCCCGTTGTATAACAACAGCACGACTCATTTCAAGACTGTTCGCTCTTACCTGTTCGCGTGCCATCGAATATTGTGTATATCCTCAATATTTTGATACTCGCTCGCTTCGTCTACGATCGTGCCCCCTTGGGGATATAGCTTCCTTACCTGCAACGTGTCTAGGGTACAGCCCATAAGGCAGATGATGAGAGGACGGATGTAAGGAAGGGACAAACGGGAGAGAGACGGATGGAACACGCGAGAAAATAGCAGGAGTGGGGCTACGAATAGAAAACACGTGGCAGAACCAGACGGGCAGATCGGGCGGGTAGACCTCAACTGGCGGGTCGGGAAGGCGGGCCCAGGCGGCTAGTTCGAGCAGGCGGGTTGCTCAAGCGTGCGTCCTGCATGAACCACGAGGAAGTATCGAGCGATAGCGCGATGCCCAGGTAAATCGCAAGAAAAGCCAAAGCGGGAGCGAAACTCCGAAGTGTCGAGGGCGCGGCGTTTCAATACATTGCGAGGAATTCCCACGCGAGAGCGTGATTCCTGCATAGATTGTGGGGACTTCCCGCGCGAGAGCGCGATTTCTCAGTAAATTGTAAAGAAGTATCAAGCGGGAGCCGCTGTTGTTGCAAACCGGGGCCCAACAACATAGTTTGAGGACCTAGACTTGCCCTGGTTAAAAAAGGGTGCGAGCCCAGGAAGGGGCCCCTCAAAAGAAAAGATACAAAGGTCACCAGAAGGGGGGATCAACAACGATTTTTTTTATAAATGTGAATTCTTTGAACTTCCTCACGAGTACCTTGGGAACCGCGCTATCGCTCGAAACTTCCTTGCGATTTATGTTGGAATGGCGCTTCAGCGACCCGCCCGCTCGACCCGGCCGTGTGGGCCAGCCCGCCCGACCTGTCCGTTCGGGTCCGCCCGCCCGACCCGCCCATCTGTTTCAGCCGCTTGTGCTCCTGCTCCCAGCCCTCCCCCTGCAAGCCTGACCCTCCTAGCCCACCTGCCCTCCTGCTCCTCCTCTCGTGCTCCATGCTTCTCCATCCCCCTTGTGTCGTCCCTTCTCCCCTGCTTCTCTTGTTTGAGGGGCTGCGCCAACTACACGCGGCAGGTAGGGAAGATATAAACCCGAGGGGGGTACGATCGAAGACGAAGAGTGCGGGTAGCGATGGTTTGAGATGTACGTGTTGAACGGCACGCGAGCAGATAAGAGCGACCAATCTTAAAATGATTGATGTTGTTGCGTTGCCGTCGTTCTCGCCCGCGACCCGCCCGCGACCCACCCGCGACCCAGCCCGCGCCCGCGCCCCAGCCTCTTGTCCGCAACTGCGCGGTGCTGCGTATCGAAGACGCCTACGGCGAATCACCGCCGCCCCCTCCCTTTTTGGAAGCGCCTATGTGGCCAAACGTTGAGGCCAGACCTGCCAAGCTATCGGACCATGTGTTCCCCGAATCGGTTTGGAAAGCCTTCGGGGAACACGTGGGCATCTTGAAGGTCATCTTGGCCGTCTGGAGGCCATTTTGACCCTTTCGGGCCTTCTTGGAGGACGTTTTGGAGGGCTCTTGGGCCGTCTTGGAGGCCATCTTGAGCGTCTTGGAGACCTCTTGGGCCGCCTTGGGGGCCTCTTGGGGCCGTGTCTTGGGCCTCTTGGGCGATCTTTGGGGGCACTTGGGCCGTCTCGGGCCGTCGGAAGGCAGAAAAAAAAACAAATGCCACAATCCTTCAAAAACCATTGGAAATCAATGATTTTGGCCTTTTCGGGCCTTCCTGGAGGCCATCTTGGAGGCCTCTTGGGCCGCCCCAAGGGCCATCTTAGGGCCATGTTGGGCCGTCATGGTGGGCTCCTGGTCCGTCTGACGCCGTCGGAAGCCGTTTGGGGGGCCACTATGGGCCGACTTGGGGCCCTCTTGGAATGCTCCAGGGCTGTCTTGGAGGCCCATCTTGGGCGTCTTACATGCCTCCTGTGCCGTCTTGGGGGCCTCTTGGGGTCGTCTTGAAGCCCTCTTGGGCCGTTCTGGGGCCGATCTTTCGGCGATCTTCGGGGGCTCTTGGGCCGTCTCGGGCCGTCAGAAGGCCGAAACGAAGCAAATGTCAAAATCCGTCAAGAACCTTGGGGAAATCAATGTTTTGGGCCTCTTCTGGCCTTCCTGGAGGCCCTCTTGGGGGCCTCTTGGGCCAGCTTCGAGCCAACTTCGGCCATCTTGGTGGGTTCCTGGCACGTCTGACGCCGCCGGGAGCCGTCTTGGGGGCCTTTCTGGGCCGACTTGGGGCCCTCTTGGGGCGCTTCGGGGCCGTCTCGGAGGCCATCTTAGGCGTCTTGGAGGCCATCTTGGGCGTGTTGGAAGCATCTTGGGCCGTCTTGGGGCCGTCTTGGAGGCCACTTGGGCCGTCATGGGGCCCTTTTGGGGGCCTCTTGGGCGATCTTGGGGGCCTCTTGGGCCGTCTTGGGCCGTCGGAAAGCCGAAAAGGCGCAAATGCCAAAATCCTTCAAAAACGTACGGAAAATCAATGATTTTGGCCCTTTCGGGCCTTCCTGGAGGACGTCTTGGAGGGCTCGTGGGCCGTCTTGGAGGCCTCTTGCGGGCCTGTTGGGCTATCTGAGGCCGTCTTGGGTACATCTTGGGCCGTCTTGGAGGCATCTTGGAGCCATCTTAGCCGTCATGGAGGCCATCTTAGCCGTCTTGGAGGCCATCTTAGGCCATCTTGGAGCCGTCTGGAACGGAAAAACCCTTTGCAACCACCTCTGGAAGATCTTCCGGCATCCTCCCGGGACCCCGGCGGGACGCGCCGGAGCCCACTGGGAGAGCTCTTTTGGAAAAGAGCCAAGACCAAAATCGTAAGAAGTTCAGCACGCCAGGCACCCCTGTGATGAGTCAACAGGGGGCGGCGGACCTTTTACTCCTCCGAGCTCGCGGTGCCCCTCTCGGGGGGCGACGGCGGCAGCGTAAGGGGTCACCAAAGTCTACTAACCACTTACTCAACAGCCAGCTAACCACCTAGTAACAATCCACCTAGTAACAATCGACAAACCACCTACCAAGTGCCGACCTACACGTATAAAAGCTGGCATGTTCATTTGCTACTTAGATATTGCCTGTAGGTCCCCTAACGACTCACTAAGATCTGTAGCCACTTGCAGTACTCACAACCCGACTACAGCCTACTTGCAACCTCCTTACAATATAGTTGCAACAGACTTACAAGCCATACAGCCGAACATATGATCAATAACAATGCAGCTTAAGAAACTTGGCCCAGCTTTCTGGAAGTTTCGTATGACGAACCTGGGCCAGGTGTTCGTGCTAACGCTGGAGGGGCGAACGCGCTCCAGAAACTGGGCCAACTTTCGGACAAGTTCGTTGAAAAAACGCTGGCCCAGCTTTCTGGGAGGAGGTTTCTTAATCAGATGCTCGCCTGTATAACTAGATGTTACCCTTGGCAAGTCCGCGGGCCACTTCCTGAGCGCGGTGGGCATCCGAGTGCTGGGCGCTGAGGCCCCTAGAAGCCCTACAGAGACTGTACAGAGGCCGCAGTCGACGGACCAGCCGAGAAAGCATCAACAACAACAACAACAACAACAATCATTTTACCCTCATGCGCCATGCTTCCACATGACACATGCGTCCATCTGGATAACACACCCCATCATGGGGGATTTTTCTGGCATGCGGGATCCGATATTCCCTCACCCAGATATCCCGCCCAAGAAGGTTTGGCCACCACCTCTTCCGAGGAACTTCAACATCCATAGCTCGGACGGCACATCGCCTTCGCAATCGCCTTGCGCATGCCCCGCATCTCAGAGGGAGAGGAAGAGGAAGAGGAGGGGGAGATGAGAGAGATAGGGAGGGGGAGGAGGAGAAGGGAGGGGGAGGAGGGGGAGGAAGGATGAGTAGTTGTAGTAGCAGCAGTTGATGATATTGTTGTTGCGGCTGTAGCACTAGTAGTAGTGGTAACGGTAGTAGTAGTCCAAGTAAGTAGAACTGGCTTGTGGCAGCCAAGCGTTCATAGCGACGTTGCTTTTTGATCCTCCTTTAATGTCTTCTCTCCCTATCCTTGAGACGCAGAAGTCTCAAAAAGTTGGATGGTTCAGCACATCCAGGAAACCTATCGCTGGACCGGCCCAGATATGGTTCCAGAAGCGGCTCGGGAAGCTGCGCAGGCGCCAGAAGCAGAGAAGCACCACGTACGGGCGCCGGCTCGGGCGTCCGGCCCAAAGCCGCTCCAGAATCGGCCCAGGACGGCTTCCCGGGCGCCGCAAGCAGAAATTCAGCATTTTCGAAAGAAAAATGTGTATTGGAATGGCCTCTTTTCGGCGCGATCGGAACTGCCCGGGCGTCCGGCCCGGGAGCCGGGCCGGGTGCCGGCCGGGCCGGGTGCCGCCCCCAGCTCCGGAATCGGCCCGGACGGCCTCCCGGGCGCCGGAAGCAGAAATTCAGCATTTTCAAA